TCCATTTTTTCCAGTGTATCTGGCTGCTTGTTAAACTCAAACGTTTTCCCTGTCTGCTTGTTTAGCATCCTGTATGCAGACATTGTGGGCTTCACAAAGCTGGCCAGCACCTGCACCCCCGAGGAGCTGGTGGCGGTCCTCAACAAGCTGTTTGGCAAATTTGATGACATTGCAAAGGTAAAGCTGCAGGTTACGTTGAATATGAACCATGATGTGTTTTTATAAAAGTCAAACTCGTTGCTGAATCCTGTTTCTCTCCGATTATAGAAGAACGGGTGTCTTCGTATCAAGATCCTAGGGGACTGCTACTATTGCGTCTCCGGCCTTCCCGACCCCATTCCCAGCCATGCTATTAACTGTGTTCAGATGGGCCTGGACATGTGCACGGCCATCAGGTCTGTGTCCTTTTAACAATAATGTTTTTATCCAAGTATTTCAGAGGAGCTTTAAAATCTACAATAAACCCACCATCATTTTAATACAAACTTCACGTTTCACCTGAACGTTTTTAAACCCACCCAGGCTTTTTCCCCACAGTAGCAGCTCAGCATCACACTGCTGCAATGTTTTCACCATGCAAACATGTTTTGCATAATGTACTCTCTGTTCTTTGCAGTAGGATGCAAATATTTATGGCCAAAAGCTGGAAGCCTCATCGATTCTTTGGAAATTCAAATATGACGCTTATGCAGATTTAATGTGGCTTTATTTGGCTCTAAATATAGAACTTTGCTTTTATTTTTCCAGGTATTGAAATGAGCTTAAAGGGTTACTATACTTCCTGCTTAAAAACAATGAAATTCGATTCATATTCGACGCCTGATGTTAGCATAGGAGGGCGGCGCCAGAGCAGAGAGCTTCAGGAACAGTGAAAATCATTAGGGGAGATTTATTTTAGCGCTTATCAAGCAAATAGGTAGAAATGAATTGTATTAAATTATAAATCAAACCTAAAAGGCTGCATTTGCACCTTATTTCATGTTTCAGTGAACTGCGACGGGCCACGGAGGTGGACATCAACATGAGGGTCGGCGTTCACACCGGCAACGTGCTCTCTGGTGTGATCGGCTCCCAGAAGTGGCAGTACGACGTGTGGTCAAACGACGTTACCTTAGCCAATCAGATGGAGTCTGGAGGACTTCCTGGGTAAGCACTTGAATCAGAGAGGGAATTAAAGTTGGGTTTTTTTCCTTTGAATCTAATCAGTAAACGTTTTAACTTCTGCGTGAAGGCGAGTCCACATAACCAAGGAAACCCTGCAGCACCTGAACGGAGCGTACGAGGTGGAGGAAGGGGATGGGGAAAGTCGGAACCCTCATCTTAGCGGAAGACAGACCTACCTGGTTATCGACCCCAACAAGCCAAACCGAACCACTCGGAGGTCCAACACGGTAGGCATCAGCCTGTTTGTAGGGAAACATTTCTTTAAAATGTGTTTAGAAAGGTTCTGCGTTTCAGTTTAATTGTCTTGTATTGATTTGGCGCCGCTCTGCTGTGTAATTCCAGAATAGCAGCCTCTCTGCTGGCGAGAACAAGCAGCGGGCGTCCGTCCGGATGTCTCAGTACCTCCAGTCGTGGAAGAACATCCACCCGTTCGCTGACCTGAGCAACCCTGAGAAGAAAAAGCCCTTCAGGCCTCTGAAAGGCGTCATAAAGCGTCCACGGCTCACATCCACTGTAAGTGTGAGGAAGCGCCGCTACCCCTGCTGTGCTGTAAAGGCCACGCCGTGTCACGGCAGCGTGATCACGCTATTGTATGATGAAGGGAGGTGATGACGGGGCTCACGACTCTAACAGAGTTTGTTTGTGTTTGATTCAGGAAGGGCACCCGTTCCCCGGCGGCCCCAACCGGTGAGCAGCAGGAATCTGTTACACAACCATTTACTCTAATTACACATCCATTCAAAGAGCTACATAAAAGCAGCAATACCCTTTGATCTGAGAGATTGCCGTCAGTAACACTCCCTCATTTCTTTCAGCCTGTCTATCGATAGCAGCATAAAGGGATCTCTGGACACCGTGGACTTAGCCGGGTAAGGTTCACCTCCCATTTACGGTCAGCATGTCTGAATTTTAAACTTTGCTTGTTCTAATCCTCTATATTGCTTTTTTTTTTGTTCAGGAGGAAAGCAAAGAAGCTGAACTGGTTGACTCTGTTGTTTAATGACCTCAGCTTAGAGAATCAGGTACAGTATTTCTATTTATTTTTTTAACCACACAGGAAAATATTCATATTCCTTTAATTGTTTTGTGTTTTATGACAGATTTTCATGAGTTTTCCTTTGATATCTGATATCTGATAAATTTGTAAGAGTAAAAAAAAACAAAAAAAAAACATGATGCACCCAGTCTTGTATCCTTGGATACCAGTAAATAAAACTGAGCAGGGGGTCTGAAAGCTTTGCAGTTCAAAGATGGACAAAAATAACGTGTCTACAGCAACAATAAACTTTTTTATTAATATTTAAAGCCTCATAGGAAATGATCTTAAGATTTTCAATTTTCAGCACTGAAAACATTATCACCTAGAAATCTGACTCTTTTTCCTTTATGTTGAAAAGTTTGTTTTGGTGTTTGGCTATGGGTAAAACCTGCCAGAAAATCCGTGGTGTGTGAATGGAGTGTTTTTTTTGTGTGTGTTGTTTTTTCTGGGTGGTTTCTTTGTTTAAACCAGAAAAGCCCACAAGAGTGTGCCTCCATACAAAGCATGATCCTGGTCCTCTTCTATTTAGGTCATTTGTTGAAGGATGCTAACATTAGCCCGTATTGCTTTCAATACTCCTGTTTCTATTCCACCAGAAGCAATCAGGGACTCACCTGCAGACAGTCGGTTATTTTTGCTGCTCGTGTGGCTATTGTGTTGGAGATCAAGAAGCGACGCTAAGCAAACTGCTTCCCTTGCTAACAATACATCAACATGAACGTCTAATCATAGAAGTCAAATTCGAGAGGACAAGGCTCAGGATGAGCTATGTTTATTTATTATTTTCTCCAAAAATGATTAAACACGAATTCATAGACACTTTCAGGGGGATTGTAAGAGTTAAATAGCAGATCATGACTCCACTTTAAACAAAATCATTTTGTAAAATGAGACAAGCTAATTTAGCCACCACAAATATGAAAGATAAAGAACAATACTTAACCTATCTTAAAATAAAGCACAGTTAAAGCATTAAATGACTTTGTACCAACAATGCAGGGCCCATTGTAGACATTTTATTTTTATATTACATTAAAACACAACAGAACTCTTTCTTATTGCCTTAGAGCCACATTGAAGGGAACACAGAGCCACTGGTGGCTCTGGAGCTGCAGGTTGCAGTCCCCTGATAAGGTGCAACTAGTTGCCAAAAAGCTAAGGAAAGTCTATATTTCAGTCAAAAATATGCTGTAGTTTGGGACACGACAAATACAGATACAACCTATTTTTTAGCTTACATGTGGAAATTTAAGACCCCTTAACACGCAATCAATACTGTGGAAGATAGAAGGCCATGTTTGGTAGCTAATCATAGCGATGGAAACAATGTAGCTAAAGCTAACCTTGAGGAAAGCCTGTTAGAAGCTGAAAAATACAAAACTTTTGTTGTTTTTTATCCAATCTGACTGAGTTTCTGACAAATCTCTCTTTCCACATGTTAAAAGCTGCTGAAGTCGTCTCTGCTGAAAACAGGCTTTTTATGATTATTGAATCAGATAGGGTGATTACATTTGAAAAAACAAACAAAAAAACTGTATCCTTCCACTTCATAGTTATTGGAAACTATTTGTTGCCTAAACTCCCAATAAAAGCAGCTTAAATGTTTTGTTTTTTTTGGGACAAAATGTGGAAAAAGTTGGAGCTCTAGTAACCTGGTGCATTAACATTGCATGGCCTTTGCATCTCACGGGCTAACTCTGAATTCACTGTTTTCCAGTTCCGCCTATCGAAGGTGACGAATCTGCACTATTCAGTGAGCTGCCTCACTGTGATCTTTGTGGCTCTCTTTACCGTCCAGATGCTTGTCTCCGAAAAGTAAGTACACCTTTACTCATTAATACTAACAACCAATCATCTCTTCTTGAGGTTAGTCTGCAGCCCGGCTGACTGGAACATCTGAAGAAGAGCTTGAAATATTAATTAAGATGAACGGTTGAACCAAACTTTTTTTTCTTTTCAATGATTACAGGAACTTTCCAATGGCCGTCTCCTATGGGGTGACTTTCCCAGTGATGGTGGCACTTCTGGTGATCTCTTTCAGTGCATACATGAAGGTAAACAAACCGTCTGATGAGATTAACTATGCACTCATTTGTTCAGTTGTCTTAATGAAATTCATGAATGTTTCAGGATGTGTAGAATTTGAATTTAATACATTTGCAAAATGCTAAAAAAGTCAGGCTTAACTGTCAGACACAAGCAATTAAGAAGTATATTTTATAGATCTCCCTTAAAGAGACATGATCTCAATTCGTTGATCTACTTAGAAGAAGTGGAACAAATTCAGAGCAACTCTACAATTTCTCCCTTTTCCCCCCTCAGAGTTTGCACTCCAAATTGCCGTTAAACGTGCAGTGGGTCTTGAAGCTGTCGCGTAACAACACCGCAAGGGCGGCGCTACGGCTCCTACTAGTTAGTCTCTGTGTTCTCATCACTTTGCTCATGGCAGTCCTCAACTTTGTGAGTATCCGTTGTTTTTATTTTGACCCAGACAGGTTCTCTATAAGGATGGATGGATGGATGGATGGATGGATGGATGGATGGATGGATGGATGGATGGATGGATGGATGGATATAGAGATGAATGGATAGATATAGAGATGGATGGATATAGAGATGAATGGATAGATATAGAGATGAATGGATGAATGGATGGATATATAGATATATATCGATGGATGAATGGATTTATGGATGGATGGTTGTTTTACTCCGTTATTGCTGCATAAATAATGTTCATATTCTGGTCTCCCATTATTCATGTTAAACTGTGTTTGTTTTCCCTCCAGTACTTCGTCCCAGGACGTGAATGCACATCGGTCACTAATGAAACTGCATTACAGGGATTGAGGCTGTATACTTTCCCGGTGAGGAACTCCAGAGAAACAGTTCATCAGATTGCAGAAATTATTTGGAAATTTGCTGACTTTGCTTTGTTCAGCATTAGCATTCATTTCTGAAGGTGTTATTAGCTTTTTATTAGACATTATTTTTTACATCAAATTAAACATAACATGAAAAAATACTTAATTAGCTATAAATGTGTTTGAAGGAATCCTAACATTGAACAGGTTTATGTGTCTAAAGTGAAAACTATTAGAGGTTTTGATTGAAACTTGAACATTAAGGCAAAGTCATTTACACTGATTTTTCATCATCCCAGTATTACCTGTACTGCTGCCTGCTGGCCATGCTGGGAGTGGTGGCGTTTGTCAGGATCTGCTTCTCTGTGAAGGGACTCCTGCTCACCCTGGCTGTGGTGGTCTACCTTGCCCTCTTCCTCCACGTCTACGCCCAGAGCTCCTACTGCCTCGTGGATCTGCTCTATAATGACACCAAGTGAGTGAGCTTTGCATTAAAGCCATGCTGTTCACACTGCTTGTGGAAAGGCTTCTTTAGCAATACTCTAATAAACACAAACATATGAAGAGATAAAGTGGAGTCAGCAGCAAAGGCTCTGGATCAGTGTTTTCAATCCTCCTGCATAATGTCGACTGAAGGAGGTTCTAATGTATTAAAGTTTTTTAAGGATTAGAGACCTTCCTGTGTACAGGACGGCCATTTTTGATTGACAGATGATGGTTTGCGAGAAGTGGTACATTTTCTGCTTCTTTTTTTTTTTTTTGGAGCTTAGAAATTTTTGCATGCAAGTGATATTTTAGATGAGAGTTTAGTTTTTTTTTCAGTTTTCATTAATACGTCTGAGTTCTGCTGTTTTACAGTCTGTGGTAAAACAGCAGGACTGGTTATAATAGATGCATGTTATACGGGGTTTAAACTCAACCCTGGACCAGATCGACAGCAGGGACACACCCTGGCTCTGCTTCTACACCAGACCTTGGAACTAGAGTTTAAACTATTAATCGGATTAATTGATTATTGAAATAATCGTCAATTAATTTAGTAATCGATTAATCGTTAACTGGAGTATAGAGACTGTAAAACATGAATTTAGCTGACAGAGCAATCCACTTAGAGCAGTAATTATAAAAAGACTGTCATAAAGAAAAAATAAATAAATATTTTGCATTTAAGATTTAAAAAAAAAAACTTTTTTCATCTGTCAATATGCTCTATCTAGACTATAAGTGGAAAAGATTTAGTTTCACCTGGTTTAAATTCTGTAAAAGAATCTTCTCCAAGGAACTTTTTTCCTAACTGATTATTAATCCAAAAAATAATCAACAGATTAATCGATTAGCAAAACAATCAATAGTTGCAGCCCTACTGGAGCGCTTTGAACCAGTTGCTGGAGCAGATAACTCCATGATAAAGCCGACCCAGGACCCTGAGACAGACCCTGAAGCTGTAACTCACCCCTGTTTATCCTAACTCTGGAGCGCTTCGGGTGCAGTACGACAATTAAAAAAGAGGAGAATAATCAAAGAGCTCGTATCCAAAGACATTTTTTAAGTGTCTTATGGAAACATAAAGAAGTTCAGGATCACAGTTACATCAAACACTAAAGTAGGAGCAGAAACCCCAGGAGTCGGACCTTTTCCTCTCAATCATGAGATACTGTAGGCGAACGCTGCTCCCCTGATACGACCTATTACCACCTCATGACATTGGGTTTAAAAATCTCTGAGAAAACAAACCCAGCTAAACGAAGCTGTGAATGTTTTCGCTTCGATCCGCTGAAGCGAACAGCAGTGTGAAAACATCGTAAATGAACCATTATGAATTAAAACACATGAACCCCGAATCCAGAAAAACAAGAACCTGCATTTTTCTTCAATTTTGTTTAATTAAGATTAATTGTACTGAAGCTTTACAGCCCTGCCGACTCCATCCTGAGATTAGAGGGTTTATATGAGCCCCTAAAGATAAGAACTAGTCTGTCAGTCGGACCTGAGAGGGACTCTGTCAACTCATGGGAAGGTGTTGGATTTCTCTGCTTTTGTCAGTGACTTGGAGCCCAGATTGGGAATCCTTTTCTGCGGTTTCAGATCACCATCATTTATTTAGCCCCTTTCTATAGAAAGAATCTCTCCTGGACGACACAGACCCACTTTAGACTGAGACTGAGTAAATATGACGGTAAAGTGGGTTAACTTAATGTTATCTGTATTTCTTTGTGTTCAGGCCCGGGGTGCTGAAGGACCCTCAGATCTTGTCTGGCATATGGCTGGCCATCTTTTACATCGTGTGCCTCCTACTTGCTAGACGGGTTTGTTTCTTCATTCTAAACTAAACTTGGCTTTGGGTTTTGTTTTGTTTTTTAATCATATACAGATCTGTTGCTGAAATGTTTGTTTTTGATTCTCCGTCAGGATGAGCTGACGTGCCGCGTCGACTTCCTGCTGGAGCACTGTTTCCAGACAGAGCGGGAGGAGATGGAGACCATGGAGAACGTCAACAGGCTCCTCCTTCAGAATGTCATGCCGCTTCACGTCGCCTCCTTCTTTATGGGCAAAGCTGTCCGCAATCAGGTAAGTTTTATGTCACTTAAACCCTCTGAAATGTTTCATGTCACTTTGGAGAAACGTTTGTGTGTTTTCTGTGAAAACATCTATAAATCACCACATTTATCAGTGAGAATCTACTGTACTTAGATCAATTTTACCTGTAAAACATGTAATAAAGGCATAATATAGGACAAGTGCGCCCTCTGCTGGTAGGTGATTGTAAAACATCTGCATTGACCTCCTTTATATATTTCAGGACCTGTACAGCGAGTCATATGACTGCGTGTGCGTGATGTTCGCATCCATGCCGCAGTTCAAAGAGTTCTACAACGAGAGCAGCTCCAACGGAGACGGCCTGGAGTGTCTGCGCTTCCTCAATGAAATCATCGTGGACTTTGACGACGTACGGCTGTGCAGACAGACTGAGAGGCTGATAGATAACAACTTCTCCTTCTCTCTAAAGGCCATTTTCCTGTCTGTGTTTCAATGCAGCTTCTCTCAAAGCCCAAATTCTCCTCGGTTGAGAAGATCAAGACGATTGGCAGCACTTACATGGCAGCCGCAGGACTAAGGCACTGCCCTGTTGGAGAAGAGCATAAGGTTTGTACGTCCAAAGTTAGCATCAGAGGTTTTCTGAACACTGCCTGCAGAGGGAAGCAGCAATCCTGTTAGTTTTTCTTGAAGAAATTTTTAAAAAGTAAAAGAAAAGTCTTTTTTTTTTTTTTATCTGCCCGACTGAACAAGCATGTTCTCTCCCTACAGAAAGTCGACATGACCTACTCTAATGTCCGCACCATGGTGGAGTTTTCAATGGCAATGATGAGCAAACTGGATAAAATCAACCAGCACTCTTTCAACAACTTTAAACTCCGTATTGGTGAGCTGATTTCCAATATGTGCCTTCAGGATAGTGGATACTTCACTGGAAAGTCACATAATGCTATTCAGATCTGTGTTTCCTGAAAGGTTTCTTTAACACAAAAATGATTGATTTTTTGTCTTTTTTTTCAGACAATGATATAAGAAAATATACATGCTGCAAATGACAATATGGGGGAATATAAATAAATAAAAAGCAAACTGTAGTTGCTCTTTATAAAGTAGCTGATTAGAAAAAGTCTAAACAGATGAAAGACATTATATATATGGCTAACACCTCCTAAATTAGGCCTATTCCTTCACATTTTCTCATGTTAAAACAAAATACATGAAGGCATTTTAGTAGGAATATATACACACAGTATAGTAGAAAAACTGAAGAAAAAAGGATATTATCAAACGCATTAAATATAAAATATAAAGTCATCCAGATTTTGATTTTTAGATGGAAAGGGTAATTATCTATGGATACTCTATGTTTACTCTCTGGGTTTTTAAGTTAAATGTTCCTACTTCTAATTATTTTACTCCAGCTACACTGTTTGTAACCCTTGAAAGGCAAAACAGCAACATTATATTTTCTTAAAAAGCAAAAAAAAAATTAAAAAAACAAAATTCAAAAACAAAAAAAAATTGAGTAACATTTTAAGCAGCAAAAGGTGCTGCATTATTTGATGAAAATCAAGATCAACCCTCAGAGATATAACCTGAACGTCACAGAGGAAGTGAAACTGATGCCTCAGATTAGTCCAGTTAGCACCAAATGGATGGATGGACCTCCAGATGATAAATTGGGTGCAAGAGGGGAGCATAGAGTCCAATCCGTTCACTAATCCTCCAGGAAGCGCCTGCATTTAGCTCTAGGAACCTGGACCTACTCCATCACACTGATCATAATGTTCCAGGCTGCAGCTTCTACAGATCCTTTCACTTCTGTCAGTGAACCCGTCCTCATCAGTGAAACCGTCCAACCTGCCAGTCCTGTTGTTCTCTCTGGGAAATACCAGTGGAGCTCCACTGAGTGTTTATAACCCTGCTCTGTTTAAGATGTCGCTCTGCTTTAATACCTGATTGAGAGGATTACAGTTCAGCAGGAGCCAGATAGTGAGATCAGGTGAAAAGAGAATCCTCCTCACACTAAGCAGATGCTGATGATGGGTGACCAGCTCTCCTGCTATGGCAGGTACCACCCTAATGGAGCTGCAGCGACTCTAAGGGGTCCAGGTTTCGCCTCATGCTGCATTCAGCCTCACCGATCCTGGTTAAAAACAAACTAATGTAAAGCAGTAGAAATAAAAATGTCTTTGGTCTCCACTCCATCCAGAGGGACTGTTGGCTTAGTGGTTAGAGCAGATTGTTCTCTGAGAAGGTTGCAAGAACCCAGCTTAATCCCCTCAGCCTGTAATCTGGGTCCCTGAGAAAGAACCTTAACCCCACACTGCTCTCTGGACGCCACACAATAGCCGCCCACTGCTCCCCAAGGGGATGAGTTAAATGCAGAGTGAATTTCTTCATTGTGAGATCAATTTCTATCATTTTCTATTTCTATCTGTAAAATAATGTCGGTTTTTGTTTGGCAGGGTCCTCTGTCTCCAAATAATATAAAAAACAAAAAGTTGTTTCTATTGTTTTGATCATCTTTAAACTAAAACCTAAATAGGACTCTGACTTTTTACATGTGGTTTTAACTCTAATCTGTTCACCTGAAATGATTGGTCATTAATTAGCAGCTTTGTGGGTTTTCAATCTATGTGCTCATCATCTGTATCTGCATCTATGACCAGTTTTATTGAAGCAGTCATGTATGTTAACCCTAACCCATTAAAAAACTCTCCTGGTTCAGTACTGCATCCCACAAACAGCAGCTGGCTGTGAATCTGTGGGGTTCATTACTTAAAGGTGCCTATTTAGAGCAAAGCTAACCTGCACATATGTGTAGATCCAAGTACAGCAGAAGAATGTTCCTCTGTTTCTGGAGAGGCTCATTCCCATTAAAGACACAGCTTCCTTACCTGAAGTCACGGTTTTTCACATTTAGAAGAAGAAAGGATCAACTTAAATGACTTAGATTTATTTTGTCTTTTTTTTTACACAAGTGTAAACAAAAAGAAATTTCGTTTAGAACAGCTCTCTAGAAAATTTCATTTTTTTTATGCATTCTTGAAAACAGTAAAAAAAAAAACAGTCATATAAATATATGACTGTATATTTATAGTTCTAACATTTCGGGGTTTTTTAATACTCCAGACTTCTAAATAGTTCAATTTAATAAGTGATTTCATATTTTCTCTTGTGTTTCCTTCCTATATTGGACTTAGACAGTTGTTTCTAAATGCTATAAAGTCTCAGGAGTATCCATCAGTTTCATCCAATACTTAATTTCACTTAAGATCTGTAGAAAAAACGATTTACTGCAAGTTTTTCTTTATCTCCAACCAAACTTTTCTAAAACAAATGTTCAATAGAATAAAATAAACTGAATGCACAAATATTGCTTATTTTTATTGCTGCTGTGAGCATTATTAATATTGTTTTTATATATATATATATATATATATATATATATATATATATATATATATATATATATTTTTTTTTTTAGAATAAATAAATGAAATAGTTTGGATGTTTGCTGCACTGTCAGGCGTTGCATTTATGTTAAGGATTTATCCATTTTAAATAAAATCAGCACAGATGCAAAGACAGGTGTGATTTAAAGGCAGTTTTAACCATGCAGTCCTTCTTCTCTGCAGGAGTAAATCACGGCCCAGTGATCGCAGGAGTTATTGGAGCCCATAAACCCCAGTATGACATCTGGGGGAACTCTGTTAATGTTGCCAGTAGGATGGAAAGCACAGGGGAGCTGGACAAGATACAGGTCAGAAAAACACCAAACACACGCAGGGGTTTATCTCTGTGGGGGAAAAAAAGGTTTAAAGCAGGTTAATTCTGCAAATTCCAATTGTAGGAACAAGATACTAAACCATATTTCCTTTTATTTAGTAATTATTTTTTTGTAGAATAAAAAAATGGGATTAAAAACAATTATAAACTCCACATTTTGTTTTATTCCCCCCCTCTTTGAACTCAGGTGACAGAGGAGACGTCCCAAATCATCCAGAGCGTGGGGTACGATGTCACCCTGCGAGGAAAAGTCAACGTGAAGGGGAAAGGAGAGCTCACCACCTACTACGTCAATACCGATCATTCGACCCCTCAGTTCTAGTCAGAACCTGGACCCATTTAAAACAAGAGCTGCACACCGACGGCTGGTGATTCACACTGCAGCCAGTCATTCTGGTTTTCACAATGACAGAAACACAACCAGAAGGAGACGCTCACACCAGACGCTGATTCAGCGATTAAAAGGATCGCAGAGACTTTTTTTTTGTTTTTTTTTTAAGAAGCTGCCTTTTGTCTTCTGGATGAGACGATAAATACAATCCAACCTAAAAAAAAATAAATAAACCAGCTGGCATCCGGAAGGAGAAAGCTTTCTACTGATGGACCTCTGAACACTGTGGATCATTGCTTACACTTTAAAAGCCTTTAAAGGAAGAAAATCACTGATTAGAGACTTAATGACCAAATGAAATTCTAGAAATTATTGTTGAAATGTTCCCATCTCACAAAAAAATGAAAGATGTTTAACATGTATTAAAGATTAAAGGTTATTTTTTTAATTAAATGTCTAGATTAGGGGGGGTTACTTTATGGCTTAAATGAATTGAAATGCACTGGATACCTATAGAAATTGGGCAAAAACATGTTTCATTCCAAAAATGTTTATTTAACCTGTCATAGTAGGAAAAACACACACATTCCTGATTACATGCATGGAGATGGAAAAATGTGAAACGGCAACAAACAACTTTAGTCCTTGTTTTGTTATTTTTGTTTTTTGCACCCTAAATTGAGGCGACCTATAAATATGACTGTCAAATGGAACATGGAAGGAAATGAAATTGAATTGTTTACATTTTTCATTGTGGGTTTAGATGGGGAGTGGAGTGGAAAAGTTTGACACCTCTTTGGTGAAGCCTCGCCACTGCACACCTTATACAGCCTGAAGGGATCCCAGAGCATGATGTCATTCTTTCAAACATGAATTCAAACTGACATGACTATAGTGGGGAAAAAACTGATGCCATGAAAACTTTTCTGAAGGACGTGACATTTGCACTTTCTGATCTTGTTTGAAGGATGAACTGTACGGGGAATGCTGAGAACTGTGAATGAAAGAAGAGCTGTGTGGAAATATATTTTTTCTATTCTATTTATATGAACTAATAATAATAATAAAAATACATCCTTTAATTAGCCTGCGCTGTTTTGTGTGTGTGTGTCTGTGTCTGTTTCCGAAATTGCATGGAGCGTCAACAATTGCTGTGGAATTTCCCCCCCGCCGTCGGCAACGCCCTCCAGCGCACTGATTGGTCAGACTCCTTCCTGTGTTTCGCTCCCTCGCACCCTATTGGCTGTTCAGCCGTCAATCACTCCGCTTCCTTATTCGCCTCGCGGTTTGTTATTGAGCGGAGCTCCTTTTAAATGTGAGGGGAAATGTTGACGGTCGGAGTTGAAAAAGTTGGTAAGTTTTCCTCCGCTAGTTTTTCCAGTTTGTTTTATGAAGTGAAGAACTTGCGACGGAGGAGGGATTTAGCGGGAAGTGGGAACAGATAAAGTTTTAATGCGAGCTTCACCGCGGCTACCTGTCGCCGTCACTCCTCCAGGTGAACGGTTAAACCGCAGCACTCCTGCCGCTTCCTCCTCGTAATGAGAACAATTTTCTTTACCGTCCGTAGAGAAAGAGGGCTTAATTCTCGCCGTGGAGCCGCTGCCGCTGATACAGACACCTCCGAGATGTCAGGAGTTCACGAGCAGAGCAGGAAGCGGCGTCCCTTCAAGGCGTTCCTGATCACCACCGACCTTCAGGTCCAGGATGATCTGGAGGGTCTGATTGTGCTGAAGAGGGGCTTCATCTGCTCCGAACAGGACCAGGGCAAGATCAGGAGGGACGCCCTCTGGGTGAAGGTACCAGCATGGCAGCTTCTCACACTTTCTGCACAACCAGGAGTCTCTTACAGAGGCGTAGCCAGAACATTTTTATAAGGGTGGCCAGGCGATAACCATTTAAAGACAAACTACACTTTCCTACAGCCTTTGCTAACAAATAGAAGCATATATTTAAACATCTGTGCTTTCTAGATAAAAGGTATAGTTGATCAAATTCTTTCAGGTTTGAGCTCTGGGGCAAACATCTCTTCCTTTGTCATTACTTACCTATTTGTATCAACAATTATTCTGCTTAAATTTTGTATTTACAAGTACATATATATATATATATATATATATATATATATATATATATATATAT